ATTAGGAATTGGAAAGTAGACAAGAGTTGCTTCAATTTGTTTCAATTAATGAGAAGAAACATATAATTATCTAAAAATGTAAGTTTCGTTTCTATTAATAAAACATTAAAGATGGTAGTCGACATGTTTTTATTACCTAGCTCATATTAATGCGAAACAACTTAAACTTGATATAAATAATAGGGATGTATAGATCGTTAGACAGTTAATTATGACTTAAAACTATACAAGAACTCTCCTATGTAATTTTTTAAATTTTAATTTCTATCGTATTTTGAAAAATTAAAGAAATAAATATATATATATATATATATATATATATATATATATATATATATATATATATATATATATATATATATATATATATATATATATATATGTGTATACATATGTGGGGACATTAACACACAACACCACCTATTTTCATGGTAAGCTACGAGGCCTGTGGTAAGGATACCAGATACACCACACATATAAAACTTTAAATACATACATATTATAAATATAAACACCCATGACTGTAGTATAAACATTCGTGCTTATCACACAAATGAATGCCCCCAGCGGGACTTGAACCCGCGACCGCTGGCACAGCAAGTAGGGTCACTACAAGTGTCATCAACATTACATACATACATATTATATAGTAACATTATTGATGTTTACTTTGAAAACATAACATTACTCGTATATACCTACTAAAAGACAGTTAATACTTCTTTAATGGTTTTAAGGTTTTTAAGCAGGTGCAACGGATGCCGGTGTTCAGATTATAAAAACAATATGGTGCCAGCTGAAGAGAATTCTTAATCGGGATAGCATAAGCTAAAGTTTACTTTACGATATTTATGTGAATTGAGGTTGTTGATAAATGCAGATAAAAAATATTTTATGTCAATATATTCTTAAATATGTAACCAATATCAATTTGATATATTTTACATGTTTTGTTTTATTTTAAAAAAATATTTTCTTTAATATACTACTTATATAATACTTTGTGCGCTTTTTCTTTAATCATCTGAAGTGATCTCGGAATAATAATAAACAAAATTATTTGACTTGTGAGAGAGGTATGCAAAATACGTTACAATTTGGTACCAAATGGGAAACTGTCAATCGTGAGGACAACGGGTGTTAAGGGTGACGGACGTGCAGACAGCGTACAAATAACGAGACTCTAACGAGTGAAAAGTGTCAAGTTATGGGACATGCAAAGATTCAGTGAATCGATATTTTCGGTTACACTTTGTATGCAAACGTTGATTTGCGAGTCACGATATTTTCTTAAAAAGAAAACCACAATGAATTTCCAATACCAAAAACAGTATAAGAATTGTCATTAATCCCTCAACCATCGCGGACACGCCGGCGTGTCGATTAACAATAGGTTTCTAAGAATTTTAAATAATTTCTTAGAAATTTACCTGGAGGTGTTAATATATTAAAACATGGACCAACCAAGATTGTGTCCAGAATAGATCACTACCTATATTTAGTAACATCCTGTTCCTCAACAATCTATCAATATTTTACGCAATCGAACCAATAATTCTAGTTGCAACAATGGTAGCATATATATACGTCCCGCCCTTCTACACCCTATTGTTAATCATTCACATTGGAATACTTTGTTATTGAAGCTGTCATTATATAACTAACCCGGTACCGTCCTCTAAGTCGGCGACAGTTGAAAGATCCCTCTCGAATGTCTGATTTATAAACAGAGAAAGATAATGGAGCAGTACTGAATGGGAAAATATTTGCTACTTGTTTTTCAGATGCAGTGGAAGATATCTGATTTATTTGTTTGTAGAAATGTTATTATGTATGGGTATTTTACAAGTGAGTAAAGTATTTATATTTAGGTAAATATTTGGAACTCATGTAGAGTAAGATCAATAAGAAATATAGTTTTGTATGTCGTTAAATTTCACCTTCTATGTGGTAGGTAAATGTAGAACTATTAATTATATATAGCAAATACTCTTATTAAGTTCCATAAACTCGATTTATAAAACCATAGTTCGGTCATCTCACACGGGGTTCTCATACGAGCGTGTGAAGTCTCGCTCCGGTGGCGACGTCTTCAATATCGTCTTGTACGACACGGTTCTTTGAGTCCGTGGGAAATTATTTTGGACTTTTGGAATATGTTGATTATGATGTTTTTCTTTGAGTTTCATTTGCACATTTAATTTTACGATTTATCAAATAATTGCGCAATTATAAAAAAATAAATAACTAGCTAGCTAGATGATACAAAGATTTTGTACTGCAGATGATATGGAGAAGATGATAATGTTCATAAAAAAATCTACCGCAAATAAAACAATAAATTTTAATAAAACTTTAATAATTTACCAAAACATTTTACGTAGTTTTTCATTAAATACATAATATATAGCTGCCAGAAATCTAATACATTTCAAATGTATACCGAAAAACTCATTGTGTATAAAACAATTGCTCCAATAGCCCGCATAAATCTACACGTCACAGTGCCTGCCCACTACCGTTCCCACGATGACCTGACCCGTAAATTATCGGCCCTCCTTCAACTACCTGTGTCCACCTGCACCTTAAGAAACTAGGGCTATCTAATCTAAGAAAACTTAAAACTTTAAAATATTTTAATGTAAAATAATGAAATATATATATATATATTAAAATATTTTAACGTAAACCTAAAATTAAGAATCAAGAAGATGATGGTTTTATAAAATTAATTGCAGTAAGCTTAACTCTTTAGAGTGTACGACTAAATCGGATTATTAAATTTAAAATGTATGATCTTTTCTTTCATTTAAAAAGATACATTTATTTTTTGTATTTTATCAATACCAAGCATCACTTGACACCTCCAAGCCTATAACTAAGTAGTAATTTTCATGAAATTAAATGTTTTCTCTAATAATAAATTTTAAAAACAATTAAAAAAACTGACGCGACAACCCTAGCAACCTTCTATGTGATTTTCTTAAGTCGTGGACACATGAGGTCATAGTTAAATAAGTAAAAACTTAAGGGGCGTTATGGGAAGTGAACACGGTAACATCACCATGTAATACACATCAAGCTTTACCGACTACTTTGAAGGTTTCGTATATAATTATCATCATAATATAAGAAAATTAATTGCGCATTTAACTGTTCAGATTTTCAGACCATATTTTGTATGAGAACACAATTAAAGGAATAAAAAATATTAATTTAATACAATGGTTTTGTATTAATTATTATTTCATGTTTTTATTTAAAATGCAAATATTTTGGTTAAAATAAATTAAAATTTTTAATTAAAAGTAATGGTTTCTTATCCACATAATTTAGTACTGTCCATTGCGCACTAAGAATTGATAAGATTGGAATTATTCTAAATAGTTTTTTTTTCATTTTAGGTCATTTTGAAACATATACCTAAACGGGATTTTCTTCAAGCTCTAACTTCTCTACAATATTTTCAACATAATAATACAAATAAAATGCATATATATATATATATATATATATATATATATATATATATATATATATATATATAGCATATACCAAATACTTTTATTTTAGCATCACATAATCTCCGAGTTGTTTCTGGCAATGGTAGCCCAGTAACACACTCGTTTGGGAAACCAAGTGAAGCAGGCTCAAACCCCGTTCTTGCCCCTCTGGTATTCTCATGTGTGGATTCTTTTGAAAATGATCCCTTTAATTTAAAGTAAAGGAAAACATCGTGAAGAAGATAATATGCGTGTCTGAGAACGTAGCAAGTTAGTGAAGTCTGCCAACCCGCAATTAGCCAGCGTGGTGGACCATGGTGTTGATGGAATCTGCTTGAGCCCAGCAGTGAGACGTTAAAAAGGGCTTCAGTCCTTAGAATTCATACTAAATCCTCAAGTTCTAAGAATTGACGTGGCATAGACACGTATTAGCCTGCGTTCTTACATAAGAACAATATAATTGTACTCTATTGACGTTATTAAGCGCATTATTCATGATTTTCAGTATGAAAAAAAGTAATTAAGAGCAATAATGCAAAAGGATATAGCAAGAAACATGTGAATTATCAATAGAAAAACTATGATAACAACTGCCATTGTTTCAACAAGGATAACTAGTTTTTATGGAGTTTTGTAAATCAATTGTATACTTTCCGTGTTCTAAAGATGATTGCAAGAAACGATTATTTTAATATGACCAGTACATTTCTCAACCAATAATAATATATAATTTATTTATTGGAAAACTATAGAAACTTGTATATATATATATATATATATATATATATATATATATATATATATATATATATAGAAAAATCATATATTCTACTAAAGCTTAAAAAGTTTAAATAAAGCACATTTCTAATAATGTACCTCAATTGAATCAAGTTCCAAGTAAACAATATTAACAATTTGCGATCTAAGTTCTCACGATATAAGTCAAGGGACGGCGCCTTTTCCGCCCTGGTGCACACACAGACGATACATATAAATATTATAGTCAAAGAGGGCAATAAAATCTCATCTACGAATCTAAGACTTTATCACTTGTTAGTCAAGGTAAAAATCACGTAAGCGGTATTTTATAGCTGCTCGTTAAATTAAGTATGTCCAACAATTTTTCTTTATGATTTCATGTAATGAAATCAATTCATGTAAATATTGTTTTTGGTTTAAGCTTTCCAGAAAAAAAAAAACAGACCGATAAATAGATGAATATACTAAAACTATTAGATTATCCGCACATTGTAGATTTTCTATCGTTTTTATGTTTTGTTCATACATTTTAGTATATTCACTGACAGTTTACACTGATTATGCATAGGTATTAAAAAGTCTGCAGTGTGCAGCACGTAGTATTGTAAAGTGCAATCTTAGTCATACCTTAAAACAAATTAAGAAATATTCATTGTGCATTCATATAAAGCCGGCCATTTTGTAACATACAATGTGTATTTTATAAAACTTTGTTTTGTTTTTAAAATAAAATCTTACCTTTATATGCGTCATCCGATGATAATATAGATTCGAGCTGGCAGTAAACCTTTTCCCGCAGTGCTGACATTGATGAGGTTTCTCTCCCGAGTGGATCCGCCTATGTGTGTTTAAACTGCTCGATGTACTAAACCCTTTGTTACACACCATGCAGACGTGGGGTTTTTCACCTTGGATAGTAAAAAGTAAGTGTTGATAAATGTTAAAATATTTAATTTATTGCTATAAATATAACTAGTTATAGTTAATTATAGTTATACATGCAAAATATGATTCTTGGTTTGGCCACAGAGAAATAGATCTTAATAAGTACGTATATTAGGGAGTCTTACTAGCATTTATGTATTTATTAAATATGTATAAACATATAAATACCCATTTATGTGTATATTAAAAAAATACAATTAGGATCAATATTAGAGAGAAAAAATCTTGCATTTTACATATTAATTTATAAATGTAATTGCAAATATCGATAATTTAAAGGAATTCTTAATTCGTGTATCATATTTTTATTACCACTTACCAGTGTGCGTTCTCATATGCCGCTTTAATAATGACGGCCTGTCAAATGCCTTTCCACATACTTCACATGGTAACAAAGCACGTTCGGATTTTGCTGGCCTTCTTTGGATTTTAGGTGTCATTTCTAGCAATTCATTTGATGATCCCGCTGATGATGAAGTCAATGAATCACCGGATACTGATTTATGTTCATCTTCTGCACCAGACGGAGGAGATATAGGGAGAAGGACTCGAGATAGAAGGGATGTAGAAAGGTCTAATGGTGAATCTGTGAAAGAAAAATATTTATTTAGATGCTATTTATATATCTTGTATTTTATCTTTCTCTTGCTACCTATACAAGGTACAGCGTGTTGAGCTGCAAAACTTTTATATGCTTAATACCATGCTTTAACTACAGCTTGAAAAATGAAAAACTATATCCATTTTTTAGTACACAATTCAAGTCAATATATACAAGTGTTTGCATATTGGTCATCTCAGTTGAATATGTAAGAGGATTTACTTATCATAAACAAGATAACTATACAAATAAAACGAGATAATAACTATTCTATTTCCATTGTTACATATATTATACAAGCGTATCGTATTAATATAAATTAAAATTTTTAATCGATATGTAACAAAATCAAGTTTCCTTATAAGACTAAAGTCGCAATGATTCAGTTTGAAGATTAAATTTTCGCCATTAAAACTCATGATCCAATCAACGCAAAAAATTTAATGAACCAATTTATTGACAACCGTAAAAATGTTGTTATAGGAGTCTAGACAATTTATGTTCATTGCAATCTGTATTTTTGGTCGGAACCTGTCTTAATTAGGGCTTCGTAAACGATTTCTATCGCTACAGATGAAAATTTCTTCGATGTCACGCGAAGAATCATAATATTACATAATATAATACAAATACAGAATTAGTGCAAATAAATATCTTTTATTAGATAAAATTAATTGCTTTAGAAACTATTATAGATCAAGACATAGTTATTTATTATCAGAGAAATATTTTTCATCTTTATTGCAATGGAATCTCTATATGGTACCACTGTCAAAACGATACAATCTGTTGACCGTTCAAGAATTGCGTGCGAATTGATTGCTCTTGTGACTCTAAATAACTCAGCTTCATACAACTATATACTATAATCTATATACAGGTTTAAACATTTTAATATTAGGTTTACAGCAAATCTAAAGTGTTATTGTAAGTTCTTACAGTTAAGGTAGTTTCACATTGTGATTGGAACATGAAAAGTATTAAAACAATACTGAGCTCCAAAAAATATTCTCTGTCAAGACATAAGAAATGAATGAAGTAAAGTGAAAAGATAAAAAAAATATTTATCATTCCGAATGTAACATTTCGAAGTATTCTAACTGGCATTAAATTTAATTCTTTCGATATGACACAAAAAGTATAACAAGTAATGATAAAAAAATATTATAAATATCATTACATAATAAAATCGACTAGTATGAGAACTACTTAATATTATTAATATTTTTATATATACACATTTATTTAGTACCATTATTATTATAAATAAATGCGAAAGTTTGGATATATGTTTGTTAGTCAATCACGCCAGGACAGCTGAACAGATTTAGATGAAATTTGGCACAAAGATAGATTGTAGTCTAGAATAGACAAATAACCTACGTGACTTTTTATCCCGGAAAAACGTACGATTCCCGTGGGATAGATTTGTTTTTGTTTTTCACTAGGGATGCAATCGATCGAAGCGAGGTTGAGTTGCTAGTTGTTCATTTAAGTGAACAGAAAACTGTTTATCATTCAGAATTTAACCAACATTTCGAAGCATTCTAACTCACATTTTTAATTCTTCCAATATCACGGAAAAAGTATAACAAACAAGTTATGATAAAAAGTCATAACAAATTATAACCGTAAGAAGTGACATATAAGAAATGTTTACATTACATAACAAAATCTACTAGTATGAGAACAGCCTAACATTAGCAATATTTTTATATACATATAGGCCATTTCCGCCGACAGCTGCATTCGAGTTATCGATGTGGTCGCCGATCGGATCTCTTTAGTGAAACAAACGTGCCGCGTTCGTTATCGTCTCGAATATAACTTAACTGAACGGTTAAGCTTCGTATAGAATAGTGTTAATAATTTTAAATCGAATACATTATACTGCTATAATTACCAAATCTATACATATATTTGAAGTTAAAGAGTTTGTTTGTTCGATACGTTAATCTCTGGAATTACCAGTCTTATTTGTATAGCTTTTTATGCGTTTTACAGCCTTAAAGAGTACTTAGCAAAATATGCAAGTAAAGACGCGGAAATAGCTAGTATTCCATATTTCTTTAATTTTATTATAAATGTCAGTTTTGTTAATATAATACATATTACTTACATATTAAATTGTAAAAAAAGCTGTTTCTTATTTTGAGTTAAATTATTATATATAAATGCGTATGTGTATTTGTTTGTTATATTTTCAAAGAACTAGGTATAACTAAATTGTCTTAAAAAAATGCTTAAATATAAACTTGAATAAGCTTTCTTTATCCCAAACACTTGTGAGAAATAGCGAGAAAAAAGGTATAAAAGTTGTTGAAAATTGTTCTATTATTTATCAATCAATCAATCCCTGAACTTTTTCCCTATTTAGGGTCAGCTATCCTGATAATTTTACGCCACTCTTGGCGATTTTGCGTCATTTCTGGCGTTTAGCCCATCATTGTGGATTATCCTTATCCAGGTAGTTGGTGGGCGTCGACAATAAAAATTGTTTTATTAATTAAATAACAAAAAATCTCTTAAACGATACTACAAATATAAAGTTTTATATTATCTCTAGTAAGCTAGATAAGGCAATTTACATAATTTCAATAATAAATATCCCTCCCTATCCCTAAAAAAAAACATCCCAATACCTATTGAAAATAATAGAGTTGATTAAACAAATCATTATTGTAAACCAAACACCGGTAAAGCGACTAACGACAGTCATTTACAGATGTTGCATCGATCTCTGACTTTGAGATAAAAAGGCAATCATGAACAGTCGACTACCGAACCAGAAGAATTCTTTGAAGTGCCGCCGTTGCCGAAGTGACAATTTAGTACGTGGCATGTTAACTTGTTTAGTTTTAAGACATTTTTGGTTAACATTAAATTTTGTTTTAATTGTTAAATTTATTTAATTAAGTTATAAAAAAGTAAATATTTTAATATTTTTATCTAAATAGTTAATGATTGTATATATATTTTTTAAATATTGCATTCAGCCCTTTTCTTAATATCCCACTGCTGGACATGGAGCTCCCTTTAATACGAAGGGGAGGCCATAGTCTACCACGCTGCATGCAAGTTTCCTCACGATGTTTTTTCTTCACCGTAAGACAAGTGGTAGGTTTCATGTTGATTCGCACATGAAAATATCAGAGGTGCGAGACGCGGATTTGAACCCGCTTCACTCGGTTTCCCAAGCGAGCGCGTTACCACCGGGCTACCACTGTTTTAAGTATAATTTAGTGAAATGTTTGTCTGTTCATTACATTATGACTAACAAATCGCAGTATCTATTAAAACTAATCTTTAGTGCAAAATAAGTACTATTTTGAAAATTAAATAAAAAACCTGAGCAATATGACGTTCTAGAATTTTTTTTTGCCAATTTTCATATCTTTAATATACGTGAGCTTCCACAAGGTTTAGTTTAGGTCATCAATGTTTTAAGTATTCTAAATTCTATTTTCTTGCTTAATATACGAGTACTCAACATCACTCGCCATCTTTAAATATAAGTGTATCAATTTGGTAATTTCATGCATCGTCTTGCTATTACTCTATGCCGCGATTATTTGGGCGCTCGTAAATTCTTAACATGAGTTGTACCACTTTCACCATATTCGTCAATTATTATGACCACCTGCTTCATATAGTATCATTTGAACGAATTATACTTACATATAAATTATTTTACTACAGTTGTTACGCCTGTCTTAGTGACGCAAGAAGATGTGATAAACTAGGTGTGTCACGTATACGTCGATATAATTCATTATATATAGCAGAACCCGCGGCTTCGCTCGCGCTAAAACTACAGAATATCTCTAAAAAAGTAGGTTTCATACAAACTTTCATCCCCTATTTTACCCTCTTATCAGATGTTTTTGGAAATTGCTAAAACACGTATTTATTTAATTGTATTAAAAAGCATTAATACCAAGTTTCAAGTAATTCTGATCATAAATATTTACAATAACTATAATAATTTAGCTGACAATATATGTAGTTTAAGATTTGAATATCTAATAGGTAAATATGTATTTTACGTATCGAAATATATTAGATTTGCTTTGAATCGGCTGGCACTGACTTCGAAAATATCTGATTAGGTATCTATTCTAAATGAAAATCCCCGTTCAGTTATTTTTTACATTTTAGTGCCTGGAAGTCGGTTTTTTTTAAAGTTTTTATTATGTGTTTTAATACACATAAAAAACCATATCAAATACCGTGGTGATTGGTATCAAATAACTGTTAATATCTCAAAAAAAGCATTGACTAATTGTGAATACAAATAATACAATTTTTTTTCATTCTTCTCTCAATTATTACTTTTTTGAGTAGTAAATAAATAATTTATTTCGATTATTTTTGGTATATTAATTTTCTATACCTATATTCATGTAAGTAGCAAAAGTTGTTATTGCTTGTTAGTAACCATTCTAATTTTTTAAATATTTTTTAATAAAACCTTTCAATTTAATATCTTTATTTTATTATTTTATTGTCATTTTTAAAAAAGTATAGTTTAGCACGCAAAATTTTTGTAGTTATTTCAATTTTGTTACGCCAAAGAAGTATAATTCTTACATGCGTATATAAGTACACATATAAAGTTTTATTTAGTTATTGATAAGCTTTAGTGTTATCAATATAAAAAATCTTTGTTTTATATATTATGTTTTCTTCTCAATAATAATTAATTATATACGAATTTTAACCACTCAGCGAACACTAACTAGTGTAATATAAGTGCTTTAATAAAAGTTTTCCTAATCTATATTTAGATTGATCTAAAATTGAACTTACCCTCTAATATAGAGTCCATCGTCTGTCTGTACAAATTATTTCTCATCCTCACGAAAAACAACTCCTCAGGTCTTTCAGGAAGGTAGTAGACCACCAGCTCTGTGTGTGCGGAAACTGGCTTCACCGCTTCATATACCGGCTCGCCTTTAACTTTTGTGCAGATTAAATTTACCTAATAAAATAACATGTATATATCAGATACCAATTTTATAATATAATGTAGATATATTTTTGTTAATGAAAGTACGATATTTTGTTTATATTTGTATGTAAATGTTATTTTATTTGTAGTTAATGAAGTTTCTATATAATATAAAAAAATATATCTTAAGTTTGTACCTTCTCCATAATATTTGTTCTGGGCGGAAAATCTATTGTCTTATCTTTAATGAAAAATATACTTTGTTGGTTGAATTATTTACTTACTTGAGGTCCATAGTTTTCTGAGACTCGCAAAAATCGAACCCAATTACAATGTCTAACTTGCACTCCTCCTGAGGTGCAGACTTCGTCAAACAAACCAAACCGATGTCGTACCTAGAACATACACGCTGTTATAATTTTATTACACCATTAACAATATATAAATATTGACATTTATACCTACACATATAATAAAATTCTAACTGAGTCGAATCTGTACATTAAATAGTTTTTTTGGAAAACTTTATTGAAATTGTCATTATTATCGATACAGAGGCCGAATCTATAGTTTTTAGAATTTTTGTCTATCTGTCTGTCAACGCATCACGACAAAGCCACATAAAATTTGGTATGACAATAGCTGGTTATCCGGGTCAACATATAGGATCATTTTTACTGCGCGAAAATATCTCATATCTGAGAAATCTATACTAAACGTTAAAACGTAACTAGGGACGACCCCGAGTGAAGCGAGAGTGAGTCGCTAGTTTAAATATAAGGGAAATACAAAAAAATTTAACTATTCAAATGATTAAAACGTTAACATTATACTTTGAGACATGTCTTTAAGAAGCCAAATATATAATTATAATATGTACAACATAGTTAACGACTTTAAACATATAATTAATTCTATTAACTTTCTTGTTTCCTTTTTAAAAATTAATTAGTAGCACCTTAAATGTTTACAGTTTTAAGTAATAGCTATCCATAATAATAAAATCAGTATCATTTGATTATCATTTTATCGTTTTTCAACAATTTAATGTTGCTTATCGAATCTCGATTCCTTAGCTTATCCACTCTTAGAAGATGCCGCGTTTTAATTAAAAATAGTTCGATGAACAGTAACGAGAGATGTAAATAGTGCAATATGCATAAATGCATTACGTAACGACTAACATGCTCGGTTTTATATAACATGGTTCAAAGATCTTTAAAACTAGACGTGGCAAAAATTTAAATTTAAATGGACATTTAAAAAACTATAACTTTTCATTAATAAAATTTAGCGATTTTATCTTTTATTTGAACCGGAAATCGATTAAATGATTAGCAAATATAATTGATGAGTATCTATATTATAACATCTGCTGTGTTATTCTATGTAAGCAAGCTTTCAAGTGACCGCGGCGGCTAATGACGTGAAAACTACTCTAAGTATTGCAATTCAATTGGCACATCACTAATGGTCTGATACGTCTCAAACACATATACTAGTTACAGACAGTGCCTACCCACTATTTTACAAAAATGATATCAAAAATGGAAATAAAGTACCTTACAATATTTGTTGATTTTTATTTCTAAACATTTTTTTTATTTAATAAGTATTATAATTAAATATAGCAATATTATTTATTTAATTTAAAAAAATAATAATAATAATTTTTTATTTATTATTTACTAATATTATTTAGTGTTGCTATTATTATATTATGTATAACCATAAAGAATATTAAAAATTAAAAATATTAATTATTTATCTAAGCAATGTTATTGTTTTAAATGTAATTTAACAGAAGTTAAAATATTAATTTATTAATAAAAATCAACAGATATTGTAAGGTACTTTATTGTCATTTTTAAATGTTTGAAATCATTTTTGTAAAATAGTGGGTAGGCAATGTCGGTAACAAGTAAAATAAATCCGCGAAATAATCCGAAAAGATAGTTTTATTTAAAATATCAAATATTCGCGTAAATCTAAAAAAGTATTATATACAAACAGAATTTACCTATCTATATAAAAAAAAAACTATTTCTAAATCTTTTTAACTGATAACACTAAAGCTCGATAATAGCCACTAAACAAAAAAAATCTGTTGACAAACAGACGACAAAAAGGTACTCAACTGTTTTACCATTTTCTATTTATATATAGAATAAAGAGTCAATATTTGACTAAGTGAAATAAAATTGACATTTATATACTTAGCAAAGAGTTTATTAGCAATTTTTATTAAGGTCCCAAATAAACTCTGTCAACATAAAAGTTTAATAAATATTCAATTCTACAGTAATTCAGATGCTAATGTAGACATAATCGTTCACAGCTTCCTATTAAGCCTAATAAAAATGCAAATTTATACTAATATTGTACCACAGCTACGAAACAAGCGATACAGGTGTTATTATATATGAGAGCTTCATTGCCATAGTGTACGTTAATGTATGTAAATTTTATCACCAAAAAATATCTTTAAGTTCAAAATAATGATAGTATGGAAAGAATTATATAAGTGCTTAAGCAAATAGACTGCTGATACCCTACTATTATAAAGATTTTTAAAAGCTGAGGAAGAATATAAGCTTAGCAATAAATTATATATATATATATATATATATATATATATATATATATATATATATACATAGTAAAGTAAGCGAGCAAATCTGCGAATAAATGAAGTTATAAATATTGAGAAATAACTATAACGCAATAATAATATGTATTTTACAATTCACATGTTATCAAGGTTAAATCAAACTTATAAAATATGTTCATCTTTTGTGGGTTAAATAGAGATAAAACCGTATATTATAATATTGATATTGTTATTATTTTATATGTTTAGTAAGATAATATTTGTTTAGTGACTGTATATAGGAGTCGTCCCTAGATAAGTTTTAACAGTTAGTATGGAATAGGCAGACTGTATATTATTATATTACTGCTCCGCTACTTTGGTTGGTATGATGATAAATAGCCTTCTTCAACAAACGGACTGCCTAATACAAAAAAAAATCAAATCAGATTAGTAGTTCCTGAGATTAGCGCGTTCAAACAAACAAACTCTATCTCTTTATAATATTAGTATAGATAACTAAAATATTTTTATATTTTTTAATACATCAGTACATACTACAATACATTAGACTGTAATCGATTCCGTATTGATTTTAATCAAGTCCAAAGTTGTTATAAATTTAATTGACAGCGTGAGCAATTCCAAAGATTTTTTGTTCTAGTTCTAAAGTTTGTTTATGGTAGATCATATTTCATTTTATACTATATTCTTACTGGGGAATATATATCTACATATGTCTATTGTATTCTCTAGTTAATATCTCAAAAAAAGCAAATAAGAATTAACATTCTTATATATTTATTGTATACTAGCATTGCTCGCGACTCCGCCCGCGTTTAGATGACCAAAAACCAAATTCTTAGGTTTTACATATTAGTATACTCTTACAATGCATTTTTTGTATTTTTCTTAGAAATGAGATATTTTCCCGCGGTAAAAAGTATCCTATATGTTGACCCGGATAACCAGCTATCACCATACAAAAATTTTATCAAAATTCCTCCAGTGGTTCTTCTGTGATGCGGTACCAGACAGACAGACAGACAGACAACAATTCTAAAAACTATAGATTCGGCCTCTGTATCGATAATAATATCTATTTCAATAAGATTTTCCAAAAAATATTTAAAGTACAGATTCGGCTTAGTTACAATTTTATTATATGTATAGACAAAAACATTTCTCCATTTTGATGTGTTATATTTTATCCATAATATTGTGTAATACGTTTTCAAATTCTAAACAATCATTTTACTTAAGTTTTTACTTTCATTAACTTTTTTATCTTCTTGGTCCACTAATTAGTAGATCATTTTATATAAATAATTTGGCAGAATCTGTCGGTGTATTCATTTAAAAAAGCTTACATTTCTTCTCAAAAACAAGAATATTTTATTTATAACTTCAAAATAAGCTTAGACCAATTAAACTTTACCTCCAAGTTAACAATCACGGCTAACTACCGTTTATACGATACTAAAAAGACTATAGTTATTAAATAATTTAGTAAAGAAATATCGAATCAATGTCGTGTAAACGGCTCTGAGCTTTCCAGAAGCTCGCTAGAGGCGTTATCTCGCGTGTGTTCCAAAACCGGTCAAGTGCCAGTTAGTACAGCAATAACATAAGGTTTAACCGTACCAAATGCTCACTATTGCTCTTGATTACACTACTAAAATTACTAACTATGAATTAAATGTATAGACAGAGTGCTTAAAATTTGAGAAATGGATGAGGTAGTTAAATAATTTGAATACCGATCTAAATATTTTTGAAATTTTATTATCAGCACATACCTAAGGTGCTTGGTTTGTGAAGTATTTTATATTATTAATAGTTATTACTATCTCTATTAAGCAATTTATTCTTATACCACAAAATATTTCTTAGAACGGAACAAAAAATTAGAAATCTGAAAGTTATGACAAAAGTGTCAATTTTAATGAAACTCGCCATATACGTAACGTATACGTAATTTCAAAATTAAATATTATGGACGCATAATCTACATAGATACGTAACTAAAACATTAATACTGTGATTGCGTTTTTAAACAGAAGCCAAAATGATTGTCCGCCGCAGGCCTGCATTACTGACATCTCTGCATGCGACGTCGGGTAAATTTAGTAGCGGCGTGTTTCCATTATTAAGGAAATCTTAAGAAATTTTTTGGTTAACTCAGTTAATATAAAAAAAACAACATGACTTTTTTTTAATATGAAAGAAAAAAGAACACTTAAAAATCAATTCTTTCTTAGTACAATGATACGTTGAATATAGAATTCAACCCATAATACTTAATATTAATTTGTCTTTCTGTACCAAAATTTATTTTTGTATTTCAAATACCAAACTGTTACAGATTTCTGCTACTAAAACGAGTGACACAATTTAGCTGTATAAAACATTAAAAAAAACTAAATTACTTTATAGTCTATATATTTTAAACTATTTTTGTCAAGTTGCAATAGGTAGAGACTTTTATTTTAATGTGTCAAAAATCAGCAGTGGTAGCCCAGTGGTAAAGTGCTCGCTTGGGAAACCGAGTGAAGCGGGTTCAAATCCCGGATCTCGCACCTCTGATATTTTCATGTGCGAATCATTTGCAACATGATTACCACTTGTCTTAACGGTGAAGGAAAACATCGTGAGGAAACCTACATGTCTGAGAAAAGCTAGCAAGTTTTCTATAGACATGTGAAGTCCGCCAACCCGCACTTGGCCAGCGTGGTGGACTATGGCCTAATCCTCATCGTACTGAAGGGAGGTCCGTGCCCAGCAGTGGGACGTTAAAAAGGGCTG